CATCTGAAGGAAATACCCGCGGAAACACGTTGGAAGTTGTACTCAGCGCTGAAGGCGCGAAGACATGAGCTTATCGGGCAAGACGAGGAAGCGATCGATAAGAGTCTCAAGCACTACCGCGATGTCATCTCGCGTTACACCAACCGTGGACGCAAATGGAGGGAGGAGCAAGACAAGCTTAATGACGTGAAGGGCGTGCAGGTTTTCCGACCGCTTGGCCCTGGTTCAGACGCAGACATCGTGGCGCCAGGCCATGAAGCTATGAAAGAAACTGAAGCTTCTGACAAGACCGAGATCTCTCAAGAGCAGGCAGCGGAGGAGCCCTACAGTGAGGAATCCAAGCCAGATGAATTACTTTCCAAGGAAAAGAAGGAGGAAGTCTTAGATGGCTTGCCCTCGGTGCCGTCGTAAAGGTGATGGTTTGGGATCTGGCGTTCTTCCCCTCTCTGGGGTCTAGACGGTAAATGGTTACATGACTGAACGTTTTAAAATATAGATGTAAGAGTATATGTACAATCACAAGGATACGGAGGTGTCGATACCAGGAAATGAATAGAGAGGAACGAGTAACGTCTTTACTAAAATCCTACACATCACTCAATGCATTGTAAGATTCTCCAAAAAGTAATGTTATTTGACGCGGGGTGGTAGGCCAACCGTCGGCCATGAAGCCTGACCCCTGCTCCGCCGGCATTAGCGACATCATCGCTCCGCTGCCCGCATGCTCCTCCGCGAAGCTCGTTCTTCTAGAAGCTCCCCGCCATGCAGCCTCATCTATGAGCGCGACTGCCCTTCCTATACCCGACCGATACACGCCTGTCTGCTACACCTGAGCGGCTGCCGTTTGCTCGTCTTGGCACCTGCGCTGCCGTTTCCAACTCACTTGCGCCGGCTTGCTCGCCGCCCGCCCGCATCAAAGATCTCAACTGCGCCAACATTGCTATCACCACGCACGCTACACCACAAGCACAACAGCCATGTCGGACGCCCAAATAGAAGAAAATATCGACCTCCTCTTTAATTTCGGGGTAGAACAGCTTGACAGACAGGAAGCCAGGCAGCTCCTCGCGGTATGTCCAAATAGTCCGCAAGCTGTTTGCGCTTTGCGACAAACCTCTAACTACGTGTATAGAACCATGGCAACAATGTCGAGGCCGCCATGGACAAGTACTTCAGCAGTATGGACCAAGGAGGTATTTCTGCTTTGAAGACCCATCTGCGCAACTCACAGGCCAAGTGGGACGAGACTGCCTTTGCGGGGGCCGGCTACGGTATAGACGACACCAACGTTCCCAGTACGTCAGCTCAGGCTTGGAAGACTCCCTAGGATAACACGGCTGACAGTGGCGGATCTCAGCATTCAATATTGACTATGCTCCAGGTCTCGACAACTACCCCCATAGCAACGTCAATAGCAGAGCACCCACGCGCCCGCCTTCTCGAACCAGTGTCGCCTCCACACAAGCACAAGCCGGCGATGCGCCCATACAAAGTCAGTGCAACGAATGCGCCACGAGCATCCCCCCGCAAGTGCTGACAGACATTCAGGCATTGAGGGCCAGGAAATGGGAGTTACCGGCTCTTCTAACTTCAGACCGGCCACTGGAGACAACTACGATACCTCGCAATGGGCTCTAGTACCGACCACGACCGAAATCATTGCCGACCCCATCCCGAGTCAACGAAAGCGCGAAGAAGGGCAGCCCGCTATCCTGAAGCCGTCTCCAAACTTCAACTACCTTACCAACCTCATTCCTATACTCCACTCGATACCCCTGTTCCGAAATGCGCTGCTGTGCCCGGGCGTACTACAGAATGATTACTGGCAGGGCGACAATTGGTGGAAAGGCAATCCCACAGCGACCGCGCGCATCTTCGAAGATGGCACTGGACTTTCGGAAGCTTACAACCTCGAGATACTTCACGAGACACAGCGACTCATGGCATTTCTAGACAATACAGACCGTATTTACGGGTCGATCAACGGACTGCTCGAGTCGGAGGCTTGGAGAGAGCAGCCATCACTTGAAGACCCGGACGATGATTTGCTCAAGTTCCTGGTGACGTGGGGTTTCGCATTCCAGAGCCAGGTCCCGAATGCCGATTTGAACGGTCATCTTAAATCGACCTTCGACGTCGCTGGAACCACCCAGGAGAGCTTTGTGCTTGACGCCACCGTTACACGCAATAAACTTCGTCCCGACTTCAACTTATACGATGTCCTGGACGATTCACTCTTCGCATCGGCTGGAGCCAGTGCGCATATTCGCGAAGCTAGTAATGTGCTGATACTCCGCCTGAATTCCTCGAATACGGAGGCGTCTGATCTGGGATGCCGGATACCAGCCACCCTATACATCGATCGATACCTCGAGAAGAACAAGCATGTCATCGATAGTATGTATAGCGAGATCACGCAGCATGAGGAACAACTAGTCTCGCTCAAGACGCGGGTGGAGAGACTAAAGTACCACACCCCGAAGAAAGCAGGCGCAAAGAAGGTTGAGTCGCTGCAACTACTCAAAACAAGCATGGCTGCGTTTGAGCCTGAAAGTTCTGGTGTTTCTTCAAAGGATGCAGAAGTACTAGCCCAACTGCAGGATCTTTACAACAGCATCGAGAGCAAGCTTGCAACCTTGGAAGAGCAGACGGAACAAGCGCAGAAGGCGATCTTAGGCATCTCTGAGCGATTCAAGCCGCGCGTAGACGGTAGCGCTGACGAAGCCGCAACCACCGACGGCCATACCATGGACACTACAACTGAGATGACCGAGAAAGTGGAAGAGAAGGCCCCCGAGCCCGTTGAAATAGTCTACCCAGAAGGCCAGGCCCCGGAAGACGCCATGAAGCGCCCATACCAACTCTGGGGTGTAGCTACGCGTCGGGACGTAGTCTACGTCCGCCACCCGGACATCAAATCCGACATCCCCAACGCAACCCAATGGTGGCGCATGCAATACGACAGCGAATCCGCTAATCCCGTCATTCGCCGCGACCCCCTCTCCCTGCAAGAAGTCATCGAGCGCGCCACGACCGAAGCCGGCTCCGCCCTGCTCGTCTACGCGAACGAAGACGCTACCGCCGCCGAGCCCCTGCCGCTACCCAAACCCCTTCAAGATTTCGCGAAAAGGGATAATCTCAACTTCCTCCACGAGTTACAGGAGAATGCTACAGGATGGGAAGGCTATGGCGATTACGGCAATACAGCAACAGGCGGGTGGGACAACACCAACCCCCCTGCCTTTGAAGACAATGGTTGGAGTGAAATCAGCGCTAAAGAATTCAACAGCAGCAGCCGTCCGCGTAACGATTCAAACATGAGTTCCGCGACGCTTACCCCCAACACGGAAATCGACGATGACGCGCCTGTCACGCAGGAAATGGTCGAGACGAACCGCGGTGGTGGTGCTGGAACCATGAGCAGCGCCAGTAGCGAGACGGTTGGTCGCGGCGATGACCTCATGGATATTGACGCTGGAGGGAACGAGAAATTGCAGAGTCAAGTCAGGTTCTCGGATGTGGATATGGAGGATGTGGATAGTCAGGATAGGGCGAGGGTGCAGCGTGTGGATGTCTTGGAGAAAAAGGGCGGCTAGGCGGCGTCTGGTGAGCTGCTGGATAACTGGGATGATGACGATTGGTCGGAAGATGGGCAAGACGTCGATGGTGTGGTTAATCCGGACGAGGACGAGGACGATTGCGACATCCATACGTGGATGAGTCGGCCTTGAGAATGCGGATGCGGATGCATAGTACGGTATGTTTTTTGGAATGGGTCGCGCTATTAGCGGCATGATTGGATTCGGTGTTAAGAAGCGAGGGTGGTTATTCTTCGGGTGCTTGGTTTAGGGAGGTTGTGGATTGGCTGGTTAGGATGACTGGTCGCGTAGGATGTCCACATTCCATGGTTCCAGAAGTTGAGTTTTTGCATGCGCACATGTGATGAGGCTAAGCTGGCGAGTAATTAAACTGCGAAGTTCCCCCTTCTCTTGCTTTCTTGTTCATCACACTTACATCCTTTCTTTCTCAAAAAACCAGCGGGAGATTACCATGGCTTCTCTGCCCCTTTCGAAAAATACACACGAGAGCGATGCAACATGGCGGTACCTTCGCTGTGCAAACTCAAAACATCGATACGCATACTTCATGGACCTTGCCGTCCGGACACCAAAAGTATCTAACGATACACTGGATGGCCTCTGCCTTTCGAAACTTCGAAAACACGATTCAAGTAACACATGGGCTGAGCCTTTACACACCTTACCACGACATTGCTCGGTGTTGCCGTCCGACCTCAACGAGGGTGCGTGGCTGTCTGCCGAGCTCCAGCAGTTCATCTTCGAGCACTCATACCACTATGTGCTTGTTGGACTTCAAAAACAAGATTTGTTAAACTCATGTGCTAAGCTGAGCCTTTACACACCTCACCATGACATTGCGCGGTGTTCCTGTCCGAAAACAAGACTTCTGGAATTCATAGGCTGGGCTGAGCCCTTACACACCTCACCACGACATTGCTCAGTGTTCCCAATCGACCTTAATAAGGATGAGTAGCTGTCTGCCGAGCTCCAGCAGTTCATCTTCGAGCACTCATACCACTGGCGCCCACGTCGCCATCAAGGGTACAGCTCGATCTGTCCGGAAAAACAACTCCAAAATTCTGCATGGTTTCCTCCGCCGAAAAGTACAAGCATCTCACGAATGAGTCGAGATTCAAGGATGCACGGGTATATAAAACCTCGCTCGACGCCGCTGTTCTTGTCTTCTTCAACACACACTCCGGTTCTTATTTGCCAAAATTGGAATATGGGCTTCTAATGGCCGCTGCCTCTTCCTCCGAAAGTCCTACAGAAAGTTATGATGAGCGACCGCTCTTCCTGCCTTGTCTTCCAAGAAACACCAGAGAGCTCGTATGTGCGAGTGCGTCTCCAAAAATCCTCAATGGACTTTTCTATGTGCGGAGAAGACCTCTTGCTGCTAAAACAGCCCCAATACCCGTCATGGTGCCTGTCGTCCCGGCGCCTGGAGTCTACTTCGCATCTATCCGGCTCAAAACCGACAAGCCAATTCCGTATGTGTTCGGCAACACCTCAGAAGATACTGGAAAGAAGAAAAGTATGCGCAGTTGTCGCCATGGACTTTCGGTCTGGAAAAAGACTTTGAAATTCAACATGTGTCGGGCTCGACTGCCAGCTCAACAGTACACCCAGATCAAGAAGTCTTTCTTCCAGATCGTCATGCGCGAGTGGCCTTCTCAGCAGTACACCCAAATCAAGAAGTCTTTCTTCCAGCGCGGAGAAACCCGCTTCGACCTCGGCGGTGGTGTTGAGGCTTTCAAGGGTGTCTTCTTCTATCGACAACACACGATTCCAGCTATGTTTCACGAAAACAATGACAGTAGTGTATCATGGGGTCTGGTTCTTCTGAACGCAAGAGATTCGATCGATCCGACATGACCTTCCGACTCAAAACGTGACCAGATCTATTTATGACTGCGCTCCGACCCGGCGTACAAAAACACAAAGATCACTGACATTACCTGCTATGGAGGAAAACGCAAGTTCTCTTTCTCGACCCAAAAGATTTGGATATCAATGCTATGGTGTTCTGCTTTTGGTGGGACAGGTCGCCAACGGCACCTTCTGGCGTGCTCAAGAGCTCACCCGCGCTATTGGCCAAGTCTTCAACTGTAACCCGCCTCAGTTCGATGGCTTCCTGCGCTACTCAAAATATGAGGAAAGATATGCATGACTCTCTGGTCTGGAGGAATTAGGGTACTAGCGGATGCTAAGGTTCTGCCTCGACGGCTATAAAAGGGTCGCTGTGTTCACTTTGTAATATCAATATACTTTACCGGCTTTTCACGTACACCAAAACAAGAGGAAAATCGGGCTATGGTGTTCTGCTCTTCTCAAAAACACTACTGCAGACTTCGATGGCTTCTCGGCCTGGGACATTGGCACATTCAATAGACGACATAGTTCGAATTCAAATCATATCAAAAAACATCATCATCTTATTGCATGGCTACAATCCTATGTGATCTTTCCTCTTACCAAAAACCGAATGCCCTCACGGCATGAACTCCTGCTCTTCTCAAATGTTCTACCGCGCCGCTCCATGGCTTTTCGGACTGAAACAATGCTCAATACGGGGGATAGCAGAATCCGAACTCACACTCACATGTAAAGCCACAATTCTTCCTGTCTTCTTTCTACACTCTTGATACGTACTTTTACTTTTTATAATCTAAAAGCCCATGAGTTCCTGCCTATGGCTTCGCAGACTTCTCCCAAAAACCTGCGACGTGTTGAGTGATGACTGTCCGACCCGAAAGCCTCAAGAACCTTACCAATAACGAGGCTCCACTTCGGCCTCAAACATAAAGCCCGCCGTCTTCTCGCTCCCTCCCTTGACTGCCACTCCAAACTTCTGCTTTGTGTATACCAAAACTAAGGCGAGTGCCCGGCATGGTTTCGCGGAGTCCTTCCCAAAACAATCGCATCATTGTCCAATGACCTGTAAACACGCCACATGAAGCTCAGAGTACTGCCGAGCGGGGAAAGCCATCCTAATCCAAAAAGGCTGTTGAAGTGCCGAATGTTGTTGTGTGCCGACTGCTGAAATCGTGGAACCCGGAGCACATGAGGAATGCCTGTATCGAGGAGCGCATATACCGTATCCGCACCTCGTCGCTGATATAAAACCCTTCTTGTTCCTCGCTCTTCTCTTCTGCTACAACACACTTCTATTGTTTAAAATACCAAATTGGATCAGGAGATCATTGATGGCTCTCTGGTTTCTTCTTTTCCAAAACCACAATGGCGGACTACGATGACTTTGCGGTCGGCGAAAGACTTGGATATCTTTCAACCTTATCCATACTTTATACCAGATCCTAAAAACAGATTGATAAAGTACATGTCGATCGGTCAAAAGCAAGCAGCAAAAGTAACACTGTATACGGCGAGACGTGCCAGAAAAAGTTCCCAATACATCTCATGTGCGGTTGAAGTCGTCAAAGACTAACATTTTTAACATATGAGCGCGCAGCTGGGGGACTGTGGACATAAACTTCCTGTTTTCGCTGCCTGTTTCTTCTTTATCTACATATTTTTATTCCGCAGATCCAAAAAGACTGTGTTAGGACGCATGAGCACCGTCTCTGCCGTCTTCTAAAATGGTATGGAAACGATCCTATGGTGTGCTGTCGGAAGTCACCAAAAGTTTCATCATGAACACCCCATGAGCGGCCACCGGGAGGAGTGTATATACATCCATTATCTGCGCTGGCACTTTCCTCTTTACCTATCCATTCTTATTCCTCTTTTCTAAAAATGCACAAAATCAAACTATGGCCGCTCTTCTCTGCTTTCCTAAAAGAAACTCGATGCAAGACCATGCTGTGCTGCTGGAAGTCTCCAGAACGTCCTGAGCTATATCTATATAAGCGCGCAGTGGGCGGGGTATATATAAACCTTCCCCCTGCGCCGTCTCCTTCTTTCTCACCTATACATTGCCAATTCCGCATGTCGAAAAAGCTCTCGAGTCGGTCTTCATGGCGGCTGTCTCTTCCCTCTTCTGGAAAACAAAGGACATCAACGTATGGACCGCTTGCGAGCTTTGCTGCGATCAAAACGGGCGTTCCAGAATACGATGAAAGCGAAGAAGCTGTCCAAAAATGCTATGCGATGAACTCATGGCCAGAACTCCGGTCCTGGGGACTTCAAATACGGCTCCCTTCGCGACATATGAGTGCGTTGGGAGTGTTGAAAGACTACACAGATGTTTTGATGCTTGCCTCGTTCTGTGATTCGTTTGCTGTGGGTGTATAAAGCCTGGCTTAAAAATCATTCTCTCCTTCTTTAATCACCTACGCTGTTCTTCTTCAAATTAAAACTGCGGTCAGTTGATGTCATGTTCTTTTGTGTCTGGTCTCCTATAAGTAGCAGACAGCAACAATATGCGTGCGAAAGGTGTCGAAGGAGAGGTTTTTGGGGGCGCGAGCCTTCTACCAAGCTATTGCTGTCACTCAAAGGCTGGAGTCAGAAGTGATGTCGTTACCCTGCTTTGTTAGGGCTAGCATACAGGAAGACATCGAGAAGAACACGCGTGTATTGCCCGGGCTCAATCGAATGCTTGTATTACGTTGACCCGATCTAGCGTGAGGTCGTTCTCATCATCTCATCTAGCTCATTCCATCGTCATTACTACCGCACCCTCGCGTCCCTGTTAACCCTGCATCTCAATTCCTCCACTCCCATGGATTACCTCACCCGTACAATAACTGCCCAACGGACTAGCAAGATGCACATAACACGTCGCCATCTCGACGGGCATCCCCGGGCGATTCAGCGGGCAAGCGCCCACACCCAAGCTATCCATCGCATCAGCCGGGTTGTTCTTCGTCGCAGGCTGGAGCGGTGTCCAAATAATGCCCGGCGCAACAGCGTTAACACGGATACCATTTGGCGCTTGCTGCTGCGCAAGACCGCGGGTGAAAGTTACGATGGCGCCCTTTGTGGAGGCGTAGTCAAGAAGCATAGGGTTGGACATGTAAGATGCGACTGAGGCGCTGTTTACGATGCAGTCGCCGCGCTTCATATGCTTGAGCGCGTATTTTGACATGGCGAACATGGAGATGACGTTGGTGTGGAAGGTCTTTTCGGTTACGTCGAGGTCGATCTCGGTGATGTCTGTGCAGGCTTCTTGCATGGCGGCTGTTGTATCATTAGTTTGGATTGGTGATGCGAATGAAGTAACGTGATCTTACCATTGTTGACGAGGACGTTCAACTTGCCAAAGACCTTCATGTGCTGCTCAACGGCTTGCTCGCAGTTCTTCCTCTCCCGCAGGTTGAGTTGCATGAGGTTTGCTTTGCGGCCTGCTTCTTCAATCTTCTTCTTGACGTATTGCGCATCTTCCTCTTCTTCGGGCAAGTACACAATGCTTACATCTGCGCCTTCTCTTGCGAATAGGATCGCTACAGCGCGTCCGATACCAGAGTCTCCACCTGTGATCAACGCGGCCTTGCCTTGCATCAGACCACGGCCTTCATATTCCTTAAGGTAGGGTTTCTGGTTCTCATCCCAGAACTCGAGACGCGACCATTCTGCTTTTTGATCGGTCTTTGCGTCTAGACCAGGGCCACCTTCTTGGTTTTGAGGTGTGATCTCTGTGGCAGGGTATGCGGTAACTGGGCCCTTGTTGTCGCTCATCTTGAAGGTAGTGTGACTAAAGGTACGTGTAATTGGCCTGGATAGGGTAGAAGAGGTGATTGGCTTCCGGAAAACAAAGTTCGAAGATCTGATGATGGTTGTTTTGAACATCTCTGTCGATCGGGGGGTAGTAATTGTAGGGGCCAGTTTTGGTGGGGTTGGGATTTGATGTGATCGTCATCGAGCGTCATCGTTGGAATTCAACACCACGTCACGACGCTGAGTCTGGACTGAGGCTTTTGAAATTGTTCATTAACCGGTGCATAGAACTGCGATAACGAGCACACCAGGTGTGCATGGGTTTACCCATCTGATTGATGGATGTCGCGTTCTCTGCTCCAAACGCGTCTGAGCCGCTTCCCAGGTGTGCGTGCGTGCACAGATCATCCACGTCGGAAGAGCAACGACACGCTCACAATCGAGGAGAACCTTGGACGAACACCTGCTGAAGGGACGAGGGCCAAGAGTATCGGGTCCGGGACGTATAAGGATATAGTAACTGGAAGATACACCAGCGACCAATCTTAACTCCCGCATTCAAGCTTCTTTTGCGAAGCTACCTAGGTGATCAGGCCTGGAGCATCATTCTTGCCCCCAGCCTCCCGTCGGCAAGGGTGTAACGAAGGCTTGCACGTCCATGGAATGATGATAAGGTCTTGTTGATGCAGGTCGGTCACCGCAGCTCTTCGACTACCCGACGTCTCGCGTTCCAACCTGGGGGCCAAGCGTCCGCTAACTTTCACGCAAGCTGAATTTTCTCATGACCAGTCTGCGCAGTGGCAGGCCGACGACAGCATTTCGAAACTATGTGCCGCGCATTTCATGCTGCTTGAAGAGAACAGAGGAGAAGATGGAGAGTTTCAGGGTCTTGGAACCTTCGTCATGATTCCATTGGAAGGGGGCGCCAGGGCCCTTTCAGGATTAGTCCGACGACCTTACCCCACCGCCCCTGATCCGTGCCGCCTTCCGCTTCCCGTCTCATCTCACCGTTTGTTCTCCAAGTACTCTGCATCAACGCAGACCCAACCGCATTGTCTGTGATCTTTGTGAATACTTGGAAGTGCTTCTCGAACAACATTACTCTCTTTAATCGCCATGGACCCATCACTCGAAAGTGATGTACTAAACCGAAGATCGTTAATTCTAACGTACCGAAATTACAAAAACGACACGGAGTACATCGCTGGTTGGCTCGCATAGACATCGGAAAAATGCGGATACATCAGAGCTATCACCGAGCCTGAGCCTCAGCAGAAAGCGCCGCGGAAGAGGGGAAAGGCAGGCAAAGCTCGTAAGCCAGCCAAGAAGACGCCGGATCCTGTGACCCCAGCTCAATATCCCATACGCGTCTCCGAGTTTGTAGAGATGGCTGAACACATTGCTTCATTTGATCCCAAGATCGAAGTCCCAGCTGCGCTACAAAAAGTTTTTGACCGAGTGATCTTAGCTCGGAGCAAAGTGGCTAGTTGGTTCGAGAGAGGGCACTCGACCGATTACGTCAACAACCACAGGCACTCCTACTTTATCACCGTTCTGAAAAGGCGGCAAAACTGCTGAAGCCTCTGATACCAGAGACGCCAGTAGTTTCTGAGAACATCAAGCTACAAAACAGGTTCGCCGGGCTTACGGTCGAAGAGACGGACCCACTGGACGAACTCATCACCGAAGTTAAGGAGAAGTAATTGCCCAAAGTCGACCCTATCCCGATTGAGCAAGACGAGGAGAGTCTCGAGCACGACTTCTTCTTCGCTATCGCGACATTTCTTGAGGAGATCTACAACGTGCGAGCATGGATTGTGCGAGAGTGGGATGAATATCGGCAGACAGGTGAAGGTCTCACACGCGCGGCAGTGCTTTCCAATACGGCCGTCGATCTGGTGCGATCTGCTGAGAATCAATTCGATCAGATGCTCGTTCGTCCCAAGAAGTAAGGCTAAGTCATTGTAGTGCCCGTATACACAAGCTGACGGAGATGATTGGATACCCCGCCAAGGATTACCCTGTTTGGACTCTTCCGGCACTGCTTTACGCTCGCATGCACGATTTCTTTTACTACGGCGATGTCAAAGACAATGTCGATAAACTGGTCAAGCCGTCTATGAGAATCCAGACAAACGATTATTTGTGCGAGCAGGAAACATATTGCATGTAGCACTTCTGTAGCGGCCTAAAGGTATATTTGTTATCACAGACGGGCCCACTTCACACTCGACAATCTCACATAACGCGAGAGTCATTCGCTAGTGATGCAGACAAAATGGCGCTGGAGGTCTTTGAGACCCTGGAATGGGCTCAGTTCTTCGACGTCGCAAGTCATCCCCATCTGTCCCATTTCGCCGTTGACGAGACTGCTCGGGGTATCAAACACATGATAACTTTCAAAGAGATTCCTATATGGCTCACTGTAGCGGTACAGATGTTCTTTGACGTTGAGTCGGTGTTTCAAGAGGAGGGCACGCTTGCAGCGCCTTTCCGCGAGTACAAAGAGACCGTTCGTAAAGCCGCGAAGAATTCCTCCAAAATTGATCCTATCGAGCGGCCGTTCAAGGGGTCTGCGGATTCCGACAAAAAGATAGCCTCGATCTATCAGAACATGCGTAATATCTTGAGCGATCATCAAGACTACGCGATTCGTGATCGCTGGGGAAGATTCATCCAGAAGATCAAGGAGGACAAGCATGAGCCACTGAGTAAAACTGTAGACGAGCGGGATTACGGTACGTTTGGATCATATTGGTGTTACAAGAGGGCTAAAACTAACTTGCGACAGTCTTGAAAAGGCATCCGATCCGCTGCGGGCTTCTGAAGTACGAACTACAGCTACAGCTTAATCACAGAGCTTCCAAAATCGAGCAGATGGCGGGCGACATTCTTTACATGGCCTGGCTGTATGTTGCGGTAAGCCGGATACTGCACCCGGAGATGCCCCAATGGCCTGACATGGAATATCTACTCAACGGTCGACAAGACAAGCTGTTCTTCGGCGAATGGCCAAAGACTCTCGACGAAGTGGGTAAGAAGATTGATCTCGGACGCGGCTACTCCATTGCCAATAAGGCGAGCAATTGGCGTTCAAAGAAGGACACCTGGGACAACAAGCAACTGCGCCGACTCGACGACCCAACTGTGATCGGAGAACTGTTTTTGAAGCGGATGGGTGCGGAACCCAAATCAACAGCAGAAGCCCACGAATGGGTGATGAAGTTAGTCAGCCTGGTGTGCAAGCCAGAGTCGCAGAAGATCTTGGACAGACAAGAAAACTTACCCCAAGGTACTTACGAAACATCGGAGTTCTTGAAGTCCGTGGAAATGCAACGCAAGCCCTTAGCCTTGCTCGGAGAGATTCGCCAGTGGCTCCTAGCGGATGAAAACGACCTGCACTTCGACTGGTTCGGTATGTTGCATACCTGTACAAACATCTGGAAGACAATCATGCCGGCATTTCGCAAGAATCCCGTGTTTAAAGACGACCCTAACATCTACAACTGGAACGTTAATACTGTAATCACTGTACTCAAGACAGAATCTATCGCACAAGACATGGGTACGCCTATGCCAATCTTTGAGGTGGTTTGGGCAACTTTAAAGCAGTTCATCCAGGCCCCAGTATCAGAGGAGAGCGGCAGCAAAACATGGAAGGGCGATCTACATTTGGCCAAGCTTGTAGATGTTTGCAACCCTGCGATGACGTTGATGAACCCAGGGCCCGTCAGCTTCATGAGTCTCTACGCAAACTGGAGTGATGAAGACAAGAGAAACTCTCGTGTGGGCAGAGCAGTTTGGTATGCGATGCAGGCATTTGGTGCTAGGACCGGGAAGGAGAAGAATAAAAAAAGAGGGCGCGAAAGAAGAGACAGATGGTGAAGAGTCAGTCAGCGAGGTATCAGCCGCCGAGGAGCCTGTCAACGAGGAACCAGCCGACAAAGAGCCAGTGAACGATACACCCGCGGATGAGGACGAACCCAGCGAGCACTCAGGCAGCCAAGACGATGAGACGGCTGAAATCGACGAAGCAGCTTCGGATGCTGGTAGTGGCATCAGTATTCAGGAATTCTCTTTGGACCTTAACGCGCTAGCTAGCCAGTACAAGAACGGCGGCAACAATATCATCTTCATGGGCAACAAAATAAAAGCGCCGGTAGCCATCAGTCGCGCGCAGATGGGCCAGCTACGTACGGCACCCAATGGGGACTTCGTATTGCCCGGCGGACCCACAAGCCGGTCTTCTCGAGTACAAATGCTACCCCCACGGCAGTCGAAGCGTGTTCGTGGTGTTGGTGCAATAGCTACGACGGAAGATGCCCCCGATCTGTGTGCTTGCGGTCTCAGTCGGTACGGAGTGAGTGCAAGGCCGATACCGACAATGAACACCAAGGCAGCGAAAGTGGAGCACCAATGTATGGGAGCGCTATTCGAAGGGATCGACGTACCGGACCGTGACCTTGGTGACGCTATCAAGGTAACACGGCGCAAGATTTGGAGGTTCGCAAAATTGGAAAGAAAGAAGGCAGACTCGGAGCTCGTGGCACGGGACCGCGGAGGTAGCATAGCTAGTCAATGTATGTAGTCGACCACGATGTCTTCAGCACCTAGGTTTCCTGCTAGCGTTCGCTCCATGATACAAACAACCTTTTTCGAAACACGCTGTTACAGCAACGGCAGTGACGACATTGCGAACGTACCACGTACTGCTAGGTGCTCGCTGGAGATGCATCGCACCGGGCTTCCAACCTTCGACTTTCCTTGCACCTACAAAGGCTCACGGTAAGCAACCACGAGCACGACCTCAGCGCATACCAGAACGTTCGCCTTGGAATTTTGCAGCAAGGTGCAGATCAAAGCCAATGCAGTTGCACGATAGACGCTGGAAATGAAGTTCTCGCACAAAACCAATACCCGGGTGCGTGTTTTCGCTAACAGAGACATGCCGACGGACGATCAGGTAGGTTACCGCTGCTAATACCCATGGGATTGTTTCCGAAAAGCAATTTGAATGCAGGTTGCACGCGGCGCAGCTTCTCAAGATCATCAGGAACACTTCAATGCGTTGCTTTTGATGGACTATTGTACCATACTTGGACGATTGGGCAACAGCAACCCAGGAAATTGCATATGGCCTGCGCCACGAAATGACGCTGGAACAACACTCCAAGATCCCAGGCGTACAACATAGAGTTTCTGTTTTTACTGGCATTCCATGCGCTCGCTTGTTCAAACTGTCGAAAGGAATGGAAAACGACCTCAAGAGGTCGCTCTTGTCCAACTGTGGTGTCCGGAGAAGGTAGACAAAGCGGGCGCTTGATGGGCGTCTGCGATGTTACTAATCGTGCGACTACCATATTTGACTACTTTGTTTGGTAATCTCCATACGTCAGTAAGCTAATGTCGACGCCGCACACTCCCTACCGATAGTCGTCATGGCCGGTAAACTTCCAAGATGCGCTCGCATGCATCCGAATCCTCCGGATCAGACGGGCGCATAACTCAACGAGGAAGGTCAGGCCTTCTTCGTGGCGACATGTCGATCGTTGAGCGGAGAGCCAGCATCTGGACCAGAGTGGAGGAAAAGTACCAAGGCTTTCGGCAGTGCTCACGCGTGTCGCTCGTATTACCAGGGAGGCCGGAAAGCGATCAGTTGCTACGATTTCAAATGCCCGTTCGGTAAGAGTTCGCCAACCTGCGTTGTTTGAAACATAGCACGGCATTGTCTCAAACAACCAGACGTTTTCGTCGCAGGAGTGAACCAAAATTGCTGCATGCGCCGGTGATGTGTTGGGAAGCGATGGGTCTTGTCGATAGGCTGTTTATCGATAGCCCTCTGGCGGCTGAAACAGCGGCGTCGTGCGGCAGCGGAAGCCCCGTATTCACCCCTGCTGCCACGACACGCAGCCGAGGGGCGATCCGACCACGAGAAAAACAGCCCCAAGTCATTACGAACGAAAATCAACATGACATCACGCCTCTTGATTCGTTCTTTTGCGTGATGAGGTTGATCTCGGTGTTTTCCGAGATCCACCGTAAATCTTGAGACTTCGATGTCTGGGCTTCGAGAATACGAAATGTACGTATGCAAACTCCACATGAGGTTGGGAATGGCACAGCAGGCTGAGACACCGACAGCTGCGTGACAGGATTAGCACTATGCAATAAGAAGGGGCACAGGTCGTCATCTCTACGCCGTACGTAGGCGCGCAGATGACTACCAATGATAGTGGGTGTGTTCCTCTACACGCCGGGCGAACCCAGTTCGTGACTAAGAAACTAGTTCTTTCGTACCTACATTAGCGTCAGGCACACACTCCACCAGCTGAGCGCCGGCGCACCTCTTTGGTCAGCAGGCCGCCTGTCAGAGACAGCAGAAGCCACCGTGCAAACCCCTCACGGGCGTCGGGAAATGCGGGGCGAAAAGTAAGCGCCTCCGAAATGATGGCCTGGACATTCCGGGCATCTTGGCTGCTTCTGGAATGCTGGGTGGTGAGCATTCTTAAGGGCTGCTGCTCGCCCTTGCAGAGGGATATCCTTCACGCTCACAGCAAGCAAGTCACTCTCTCTTCAGTCATTCATTGACCAGTCATTCATTCTATAGCCCGGTGCTATCAACAAAACACTCATTCTTCTTCACATTCTTTACATATACCCACCAACAAAAATACCCAACGAACCGTTAAGCCTACGACCAACATCAACTCAACCATGTCTATGTCCAAGATCTTCCAAACTGGCGCTCTTGTAGCTGCCCTCATCGCTACCGTGGCCGGCCACACCTCTGTCGAGCAGTTCGAGGCTGGAGGCAAGACCTACCCCGGTTTCCGTCAGGCTTCCAAGCAGGATCCTGGTAACAAGTCGCCTGCTTGGTGGACCAACCAGGGCTGGGGATACCAGCCCATCTACGGCGACAAGCTGAGCCAGTACGTTTATACCAACCCTTGCTCTACTCTTTCGTACACGTACTGACCAAACTCCAGCCCCGACATCATTGCCCACAAGGATGCCTCCCCCTCCCCATACACCGTTGAAGCCCCCGCCGGCCAAGACGTAACCTTCCACTGGCACCACGAGGGCAGCTGCGGCTCCGGAGAGGAGGGCTGGGACTGCTCTCACCACGGCTGGACAGCCACCTACATGGCATCCTGCAACGGCGACTGCAAGAACGTCGACAAGACGAAGCTCGAGTTCTTCAAGATCCACCAAAGCGCCCTCCTCGACTACCGCAAGGGCCGCTACTCCTCCGGCCAAGCCCAAGGCCAGACCGGCTACTGGGGTACCGACGCCATCTTCTACGACAACGGAAACACCCAGAAGGTTACCATCCCTTCTGAGATCCCCAGTGGCAACTACGTCCTCAGGACTGAGGTTGTGTCTATCCACAACAACGGCGATGTTAGCCAGCGCCAGTTCTGGCCTCAGGCTTTCAACATCGAGGTCACTGGCGGTGATGACAGCAAGCAGGTCCCTGCTGGAAAGAAGGGTACCGAGCTGTACAAGGCTAGCGATGAGCTTCTCCAGTGGGACCTTTACTGGCACCAGGCCGGCGAGACCATCGAGGATGCGCCCGGTCCTAAGCTCGCTGCTGTCGCTTCCGTTCAGAAGCGTGCTCACGCTCGTGATTTCTCTGCTTAGGCAACCCTTTTTACACTTTCTTCTTCCTCTTCTTCTTTCTCCGTCTGATTAGGGATGGCTGGTCGCATGCTATATGGGTTAGCTGCGCGGATTACAAAATGGGTTATATGGGCATGGCTTCGGGGTTAGGCTTTCACGGACTGGGGCTGGGCTTTTTCTTCTTCTTGGGCATCAACTTTTGGGGACTGGGTCTTTTGATTAGGATGATGCTGCGACGACCTTTTATGATTCACTTCTTAGATACTCTCAGGCATTACTGCAATGCAAGTTTCGAGTACTGCGCTCAACCACACAACGATTCTGGTCTTCCTGATCCCGTGATTATTTCCTCTTTTGTGATACGTGGCTTGTAGCGGCCATTGACTCATAGTGTGAGCTAGGCGTGACCGTCGCTGTTCGACTTGGCTGAAAACTTCGGTTTGACTGGTCGAACGGCGGCTTCGCAATTCTCTGGAAATCTCAATTCTTCTTGACTAATCATCCACGGCAGAGTTCATGCAACACTCTGACGCGAACCACCCGATGCTTACAGGATATACACACGAATCGGGTTATCGTAGTACTCACTCGGAATCTTGACCCCCTCACGATCCATCCATCTAACACTCATGGTCCACGCGTGAAGCCGCATCATCATCGTCCACCAGACGTCTTCATACGAGATGTTCTTGTCCCTATTATGATGGTGGCTGTTCTCCATTTCCCTAACAAACTCTGGTACATTCTCGGTGTAAATGTAAGCGCGCTCCGTAAACACAGGATCCAGACCGGTGGGAAGCTGGTCACCTCTCCCTTTATTTTGCTGTGAGGCGGTGTTCCGCAAAGCTAGTTCGTAGCTTTGCACGTTGATGGAGATGTGGCAACGCACTGCGTGACTGTAGAGAGGGACATAGAGCCCACCTAGAGAGCGTTCGAGGTACGCGGTCGTGTCGATGAATGCTTTCTTGAAGAAGTCTAATTCTCGAGTGTCTGTCCTTTCAACCCGGTGTTCCCCCTCGAATTTCCAAGGGGCCAAGCCTTCCCAGCTTTCGTAGAATTGAAGTACATGTTTCTTGCGGTTTGACAACTGTGCCTCTTGCCTTTTGAGTAAAAACCTCCAGACGTTGCGTGACTCGGGTCTCTCGCCCATTGTGGTCAGCGGGAACGGAAACGGGTTGTCGATGGCGTTCAATGCAACGTTGTCTATGAGGGGCCATTTGCAGAACAGGCCAAGAATATCCGTAAACCCAGGAAGTCTGTGAGCGGGATCCTGATACGATATGCTTGCCTCCAGAGCCAGTTTCGCGGCGCCATGTATTCCCATGATGTCTAATGAGTGTCTGAGATCCGGCACGTCAGGCGTTTGTTTATTTCTGAGTAGTAGACCCTTGTCGCTGGCGATAATAGGAAGTATTCCACATGCCATCTAATCTTCGTCAGCCAGAGAGAACAGAGAGGCTATGGCCATAGGTGGCGGGACGTCGCACACATCTGATCCAACCACCAGCCCTTGAAGAAGACATTGGCGTTGGATGAGCCCAGCAAGGTCGTCGCGAGACCAACCTGAAGAAATGTATGCAATTTCACGTACCTGGTCTGCAGCCGTACTATTAATACGCCATTCGTGGTCCGGAAAGGGGTGAGGCCCAGTCGTGCTATATTCTACGACCAGTCCCATGCCGCGTACGATCGAAGTGGAGAAGCTTCGTCCGCTACCAGCTGCACGCATCTTGCCCTCGTCAATCCGGAAGTCTGACCAGGCCATGCCCAATCGATGAGCCATAGTGATCAAACATCCCACTGTGGTACTCGCGACTGGTCGCACGATATCTGGTGGCATGAAGTCCCAAGAACGTATTTTTCCTGCGAACAGGGGAACTCCAAGTCAGTGTAGGTTTTAACAATTTACGCAATCCCGAGACCTACTTGAGATACATATCAGCTTCAAATCGTTTGGCAATATGTCGTGTGGCTGATGCTGATAGCGGTCCATAACGGTTTGTCTCTGCTGAACGTGAGCATCTTCCAGTAGAGTTATCCAAGTGGGCACGTCATCGGCTGTATGCATCCACATGTGAGCTTCATTTCTAGCCGGCTAGTTGCTGGGAAGTTTACCATAAGCCTTTGACAGATAAGCGCTTCTGCAGAAGGTGCCCAATCGCGAGCCTTCCGTGCCCAAGAGCGGTGCCGATGTCAAATGAGGGACTAAATAGCGTGCCTTCTGCATGCGCCAATATATCGACTTAGGGTCCGGGAAAGTCGGTATGGGCCTGTTCTGATCGAGAAGGAAGGACTCGCGATGTCCGCAATGCCTCATCGTCGCCATTTCGAAGTGAGGGGTCGTCACGATGACTTCGTATCGGAACGAGCTCCTACTGAACTTAGCATCCCTAAAGTTGAGTTGGTCCCCTTATTTGAGAGTAGATCTCTCACCATCTGAACTTCAGTTGAACCAACTTGTACCAATCTCCTATCACAGAAGGCTGGCATCTACGGTACCCATCTGCCGTCGAAAAGAGCTGGGCGATGAGTTGGCCAGCTGCGATTACCAAGGCTGAGATCGCTATAGCCATAGCGGCTGTCGCCACGTTGGCTTCGTTAACCATATCGCGGTATTTTCGATCAGATATAGTGAGAAATTCGTCAAGTATGAGTAGGGGTAACTCCCACTGCGCGCATAGTTGAAATTGCGAAAGGTGAGCGTCGTAGAATGGTTACCTAAGCAGGCTTGAGGGCTGATGAGCTGAACCGTTAGCCTGCTCACTCATGCAAGCCTCTGCCTAAGTAAGGCGCGCCGCGTGTTTTGGACCCCATCTCATCTCATGGTAAGAAGGCGTCGATCTAGATACACCGTTCGAGGTCAACGCGAGTTTCTGTTTGGGGGCGAGAGCCGTCCTTGCAGGTTGCTAGGTAAGCGCCAGCACCCCGCTCCTGCCATCTCGTCCCACCTCAGCCCCGCCACTTCGATCCTCCGGCTAAGACAAGACGCCTTCCGAAGCCAGCGGGAGCCTGGAGAGCAGTGACTCTCCAGTTGTCTGATCTGAGCTCTTCGATTTGGAAGATTTTTGTGCGGATATAGTTTTCCAATTGTCAACCTCTGATAATCTTCGCCGCGGCAATGGTTTAAGGGTAAAATCCAAGCTTCCCACGCTTCATACGTAGCCTGCTTGGGCTCCGAGTTCGAGTCTCGGTTGCCGCAAACCTCATTTGTTTTTGCTTGCAATGTGTCCATGAAGTTTGCCGCTCTTCTAAACTTCCGCGGGTCAGAGTAGAGAGGCTTCTCTTTTTGCGCAGCGTCGCGATATGACATTGGTGCAGCGCGTCGAATCAGGAAGAACAGAGGGGATTGAGAAGTGACTTGAGAAGTAAGTACCGCAAACAATAATGTACGATAGGAGTTGAAGACGTGCGTGAGGCTAATGTGGGGTTCAGCAGCCGCCCGTAGCGCTGCGTCATCGTTCCCAAACACGATCCAGCAGCTCTCCAGCAACACCAAAGGCACCACCCCACCGACCCCTCAACCACCCGATATGGCTTCCAAGATCGAAAAGACGCTTGCGCGACAACGCGAAAAGTAACTCTAGACCTCATCATCGCGCAAAACGCAATGGCTAACCCCGCCCAGAATCGCAGAAGGCCAATTCTACGAAGCCCACCAACAACTCCGCGTAATCGCATCCCGCTACACAAAGGCCTCCGATTGGGCGTCCGCAACCTCCATCCTACACTCTGGCGCGCTGTCTCTCCTGCAGGCAGGTCAAGGCGGATCTGGCGGCGACCTATGCATATTCCTACTCGACGTATACAACAAGGGGGAGGTGAAGGTAGACGCAGAGAGCAAGGGACGACTACTAGGCCTTCTACGCGCCTTCCCCAAAGATGAGCCCACAAAGAAGAAGTTCGTAGGCGAGATGGTAGCATGGAGTAGTCGGTTCGGTGACTATCCCGCTGGCGACCCAGAGATACATCACGTTGCGGGAGGACTATACGCTGAAGGTATGCACACCACCCCTCCTACTCCCCAGTCCAACCCCAACCCCATTCCCACAAAACTATACTAACACCCCTCCCCACAGACCTCGAACCCTACGAAGCAGAACGCCACCTCCTCCTCGGCACCCAAGACTCCGCCTCAACCCTCTCGTCCCTCCACTACTCGTGGTACACCTCCGACGCACCCCACACCGCACCCCTCTACCTCGCGCGCGGCACCCTCCCGTACCTCCTCACAGGAAACCTGCGCGCAGCGAACAAACACTACCTCCTCTTCACCTCGTCCCTGCAACGCGCGCCGAACCCACCCACGCAGCCCGTTTCTACAAAAGCCTCGGATTTCACCGTATACCCCTCGCTACCTCTGCTCAATTTCCTGGGACTATTGTTGCTGAGTGTGGAGCGCGGGGACCCGAGTTTGTGGCGGCAGTTGAAGAGCCACTACGCGGGGGACCTGAAGGATGTGAATTGGGGGGAGGCGTTGGATCAGGTGGGCGAGATGTACTTTGGGATTAAGATTCCGAGGCAGGGGAACCCGATGTTTGATATGCTTGGGAGTATGTTTGGGGGTGGGATGGGTGGTGGTGGTGCGCCGGCGAAGAAGGCTGTTGGTGGGAGGCCGCCGGCTGCTGGGCTGGATTGAGTGGGTTGTACGGATACGGAGTGCTAGATGGAGAAGCTCTGCGCTTGCATTGTCTAGATTGAATGCGTTGCAGAGGCGGAGAGAAAGCTTTCTAGAGTTGGGCACGAGATACAGCAGAAGCGATACCATTTCACCAAACAAGGCTCAGAATCTGGAAGCGATTGATGTGTTCATTCAGTCATTTCAAAGCTTATGAGCTTTTGTCTATACCTACCATGTCCATCGAATACCCACTTCCTTCTTGCATCCAGGCGACCACCTTACATAGGCACAGTCTTCTCCTTGAACACAACGCCATACTGGTCCTCCAGCGTCTTCATCAACGGGCGGCAGATCTCGGGGCTCATAGGAGCAAGGATACCCTTCTCACTCAGCGTACCATCAAGCACCTGCTGCACAGCGACCGCGCAAGGAACACCCACAAGCTTAGCCATAGCGGAGTAACCCTTAGGGTCACCGTAGTCAGCCAGGGTGCAAGTACGAACAGCCTTGCTGCCGTCCTTGTTCTCAATCTCGAACCTATGCTGCAGCATAACCATGTCACGCTCGTCGTTCTCGTACTGCATCTTCTTCTCGAGGGTAGCGCAGAGGGTGTCAAGCGGGTTGCCGCGAGCCTCAATCTGCTCGTCGGAGATAAGCCCGATCCAGCGGAGACCAGTGATGATGCGATCCTTCTCTTCTGTGCTGGCGAACTTTGTCCGCGAGGAAATGGCCCAGATGAGGTCCTCGTCCTTGTCGCTGCTGGCGCCAATGATCTTGGCGGTTGCGTCGCGCCAGGTGCGCTTCTCGCCTTCCTTGAGGAAGTCCTTGGGGTCTTCGGACAGGAAGCCAATGTCGACGAGGCACTTGATGTATTCTGGGAAACCTTGGTAGCGCAGAGTGCCGCGGATGATGGTCTGGCACTCGGGGATGTTGTAGCGCTCCTTGTAGGGTGTGGAGTCGCGGTTGGGGTATGCGACGAAGGCGTAGCCGGGGTAGATGAAGTAGGGCTTTGCTTCGGCCATGAGCTCGGGGCCCTCGACGGACTTGACCTTACCGTCTTGGTAGAAGGCAGCCTGGTTTCGGAGCGCGAGGAGTACACCGCGGGACGACCAGGAGAACTTGTAGCCGAGCGGGTTGTCTGAGCACTCTGGTGCGGGGAGACCGCCACAGTATGACTTGAAGGAGAGGATCTTGCCACCGGCCTTGTGGACCTCGTCGATGGTGAGGACGGCGGAGAGATGGTCAACACCGGGGTCGACACCGATCTCGTTCATGACGGTGATGCCGGCCTCCTTGGCTTGGGCGTCGAGCTCCATCATCGCGGGCGAGACGTATGAGGTTGTGACGACGTTCTTCTTCTTGCGGATCGCCGACTTGATGACCGTCGCGTGGTATGTGTAGGGGATGAGGGAGATGACGACGTCGACCTTGGCGACTTCGGCGTCGAGGGCGTCGGCATCGTTGACGTCGAGCTGGGTGTTGTTAGCAGTGAGCTGTATATGTGTGGTGTATGTGTTCGTACGCTGATGGCGTTGGTGTTGGGAATGCCCTTAGCCAGGTCCTGAGCCTTCTGGAGGGTACGGCATGCTACTGTGACCTTGACGCCAGACTTCGCGAGCACGTCAACAGTTGGGCGTGTACTGTGATTTGTTAGTCTGTTGTAGATTGAGATGGTTGATAGATGGCTTACACGAAACCAGCACCGAGCAAGAGAGCGGTCCTGTCATCAATTAGCCAAATCCCACCACAGCAATTTCATGTGAGCACCTACTTTCCGCTGTATGCTCCAGCAGCCGCCCCGCTGACGTTGCCCATAAGGTTCTGTACTTTGTCTGCATCATCAATTAGCCAGGTTCTGTTGCGTCCATACTCTAGACTTACTTGTGATGGCCTCCATGATGTGTGATTTGGATGTAATTGCCAAGATGTGAAAAAGTTTGGGGCGAGATTATATCTTTGGCGTTGACTCCGGATCGGAATAGAGAGAAATCGGCGGGGTTACTCCGTCATCGCTCCTGAAAGTGGGGCATGCGCGGCGCGTCACGCTGGGGATCTTGGGCTTTGGCAGACCGATGGATGTTCCGAACTCAACCACATTTTGGACAGTTCACTTGGTAATGCGCGTGCGAGATTGAGCATAGCCTCTTGGAATTACCGTGGTTTACTTTCACTGTTGCCTGGGCGCGTTCTCCAGGAGTGTTTCGCGATGTACAGCGCGATAATGATCAACACGGTCAATTGCAAATTTCATCTTGCTAAGCAGCGTCCGGAATCTATATAAGCATCAGGCACGATTGTCGCAGTGCACCTATTCTCACGAGCCAGTTCTTCATCTCAATTTGACTTGCTGAAGATAGGATTGGACTGCAGAACATCTGGTCTGGGGCATCTCGAAAAGGGAAGTGGGTCAGCGAGCCGCGCCAAGTCAGCTATGCCGCATTCCCACTAGCACGGTTTCCGCGGACTTGCCAGGTACGCGTTTCATATGCGACGACGACGAGCACCACCATCCACAACTTTGTACCAGAACTGAACATAGCAACTTCCACTGTGGCCTAATACCGCGCTTACAACAGACGTGTTTTGTAACCACATACGACAACCAAAACCAGGCAACCGCCATCATGCCTTCAGCCGTGGACCCTGACGATGACCTATGGGTGGCCATCAAACAAGTAGATAATCCCGTATACATGTGCGCGTATTATGTATGCTGACAGAAACAGATCTCTCAGTCATCCGTGGGCTCAGACTACATCGACCAGCTGATCCCCATCATGAAAGATGCACGCTACTCAAATCAACTGCAAATCACATTCGATCGCTATGCCAACGATCGCGAGAGTGAGATTGAGCGCATATGCAATGCAAATCATCAAGACTTCGTCAGCTCGGTCGACTCACTACTCAGGATACGCGACCAGACCGTGCAGATGAGTGGTGAGATTCTGCAGCTTAACGAGTCGATCCAAGAGAGCATTGAGAAGCTGGCGGAGCAGAAGAAGGCGCTGGTTGATTCGCGAGGCGTGCGCCAAAATATCGATGAAGCGTCACAAGCGCTGAACGCGTGTCTAAACGTATTGCGCATTGCCAACTCGGTCCAGGACATGCTGAGGGAAAAGAACTACTACGCGGCGTTAAGAGCATTGGATGAGTTACAGACGATTCATTTGAAGGAGATCAATCGGTTCAAGATCGCGAATGTGATTGAGAAATCTATACCGCAAACCCAAGAGCAGATCAGAGAGGCAGTCAAGAATGACCTGAGTACGTGGCTCTACCGCATCCGCGAGTCGGCACAGTTTTTGGGCGAGGTTTCATTTTACTACACCGATGTACGGAGAACGCGCAACCAGGAACGCGCCGAAGCCGACACACGGTTTTCTAAGTTCAAACTGAACTCAGCAATCGAACTAGTGGCCGATGAGACCGACGAGTTCGACGTGCTGAACAACGAGGAGGCTGGAAACGAGACGGATTTCTCGCCTTTATTCGAAGCGATGCACATCAACGAGACGCTCGGCAAGAGCGAGCAGTTCAGAGCAGAGTACGCGTCAGATAGGCGGACGCAGAAGGATTTGATCATACCGAACAAGCTCGACCTACTAGATGAGGAGTGTAGTGACTTGAGCAGTTTGCTGGAGAGTATCGCAGGGTACGCGATTATCGAGAAAGCTACCATGTCTAAAACACTTAACCTACGGTCACAGGCTGATGTACGTAACTTTCGCTCATTCACGTGAAGCACTGCTGACGAGAGTATAGGTGGACGAGCTATGGGACTCGATGTGTCAAAGCGCGATCAATCTCATCACCAGCCAGCTTCATACCGTTGAGAACGACGAACTGCTCCTGAAGATCAAAGGTCGCATAGCGCTCTTCATGCTGACTATGGAGGTCCGTCACTCGTTCACAACTCTGCTAGTCCCTCTACTGACTGCCATAGAAATGGGGCTACTCCGTCTCCGCAATGAACGACCTCCTCCTCACCCTCTTCTCCAAATACTCCTCCCTCCTCAAAGCCCGCTTCAGCGAAGACTTCAGCGAGATCGTGCACACGGACGACTACATGCCCATGCCCATCAACTCGAGCGAAGAGTACGATAAGGTCGTCTCGGTATCCTGGTACAATCCTCCGGCATCCAACGAACCACTCACCTTCCCCTGCGTATTGCCCTTTTCGCAGATGTATCCGCTATGCTGCATCGATATCCGGAATTTCCTCAACCAGATCTACCTCTTCAGCGACGACTACTTCCAGAAAAGCAGTGTCATTGATGAAACGCTGAGGCAGAGTCTGGATGAGCTGCTGTGTGAGAAGGTCTGCGGGAGCTTGATTGAGAGGTTGAGTAGTCAGTATCCTGGTCAGATTGTGCAGATCTTGACCAACCTGGAACACTTCGAGAATGCCTGTGTTGAGCTGCAAGACCTGCTCTTTGAGGCGCGTTCGTCGCCCTCAGCAACAGGTCCTGTCGTCCTGGCCGCAACCGATCGTTTCGCCAAAGCCAAGAACACCGCCTCCAACCGAGTCTTCGAGCTCGTAAACAGCAAGATCGACGACTTGATCGAAACAGCAGAGTACGACTGGATGGCCACCAAGCCCGAGACCGAACCATCGACGTACATGTTAGAGCTGACTAGGTATCTCTCCAACATAATGTCCTCGGTCCTTCTTGCGCTCCCCACAGAGATCAAAGAGTTCATCTACTTCGACGCTCTATCGCACGCGTCAACCGCCATCCTCGACCTCCCTCTCGCCCAACACATCAAACGTATCTCCCCCGCTGCCGTCGCAACTCTCGCCAACGACACCGCGTTCCTCAGCCAATTCGTCAGCTCGCTCAACAATCCCATCTTAATGGAGAATCTAGACGAATTGACGCAGACAGTCGCGCTGATGGGCACAGATGATTCTCTGGAGTTCTTCGACATCGCGCAGAGGAACAAGAAGTACAGCAAGGTAGACCAGATGAAGGGCGCTATCCTGCTGGAGAAGGTGCAAGAAGGGGCGCAAGTCGCGGCACAGAGTCCAACTGTCGGCGGCAAGGAGCGTTTCGGTACGCTAGGTTCGAGATTTGGCATTAGATAGAGTGTAGCCTGTCAATCTTCACATACATTTCACATGACAAGAGCAACGCAACATGTGAGCCAGGAGGCATTCAATACGTTCTATCCCTTCATTCCAGCACGCCAAAACGCCGTGAAGATAGCCACGCCGGGCTTTCTGGTATCATCCCGTAAACTATTATACATAGATATTCAGCAAACCACCCTCGAACCCGACACACACCTCTATCTACTCGTCATCCTCCTCCTCATCCCGAGCGACAACAACCCCCTCATCCCACTCCTCCCCCTCATCCAACACCATACTAAACTCGCCCGCCAAAGCCAATTCATCGCTGGCGCTCAAAACGCCTTGAACATCGCCCGAAGCAATCTCTTCATACACGGCCGTAATGCCGGTAATCCGGCACACGCGCGCAACACTCGCCATCATGACGAGCCCCAGCATGGCAAAGGGGCCGACAGCAACAAGTTGGCTGAACGTGCTTCAAAAAAAGTTAGCACCCCGTTCATCGTTCATCGAAGCCGACTCAGCTCAAGCCATCAAAAACTTACTAATACCAGCCATGCACAGCACCCTTATCCCAAAACCTCAACCTGGCTTCCACTTTGCCCTCCCGCTCCTTGACCGGCCCCTTCTCCAGCTCCTGCAGCAGAAGCCCAATCTGCCGCCGGAAGCCGTGCAGGGATTTCCACCACGTGCAGCGCTGGTGCTGGTTTCGGTTTCGCGTGAAGATCTTGTTGAGGAGCGTGTGGATGTCGTGCAGCATTGCCATGTCGTGCGATGGTGCGTTCAGAAGCGCTGTGGCTGTGATGGTGGGTGGGGGGGAGGGGGTTGTGGGCATGGTTGGGTGGTGCGGGAGGGTGAATGTTGAGGTTGCCATTTTGGTGGTGGGGTTTGTAGATGAGTGACTTAAGGTAGGGGAGATAGAGACGCGTTGATGGCTTTGTAGGCGTGTTGTGGGGGTTTTGAGTCGCGTTGGCTGGGTGTAGGTGTCCGGGGTATGTGGACAGCCGCGGATATGGGGTATGTGCGTGCGCGAGACTGGGTATTGTATGCGCGGGAGGATGATGGCTTTAATTCCCGAAGGCAAGTAGCAGAGCGTAGAAGTATTGAGTCGCGGGTTGCGATACGATCTGGCGGTACTACGGTGGTGTTGGGAGTAATCGCAAAGGCAATGCGAGTACTGTCGTTGGAGAGGAAAATTTTTGCGCGCCGACTTTTGAGAAACCTAGCTACTCTACGACCATGAGACTGAAAACAAAAAGTGACGGTGAAGATGAAAAGCGGTGACGCGGATTTGCCCACGAGGTATAGCTAGGGGTCTATGCGAAAGGTCATAGGTCTTGGAGATTTCGGCGCGATGTTCCTGACTGACCGCGGTGTCAAATGACAAACGGCAAACGAGACAAGGCCTAGCTTAATCTAGGTAACACACACGTGCTCTGTGGTTGATGAAACTGCAAAGAGTGCGAATGTGAAGTAGGCGAACTTCATCTCGAGAAGTCCAAATGATCTTGACATGCTTATAGCTTTCGTCAATGAGGGGGTCAGGGATGCGGTGTGGCGCGAGAGTTCTAGCCACCAGGGACAATAGTTCTGCCAACCTTTGCTGATGAATATCGCGATGCTCGCTCTGGATGGCTCCTGAAGCTGTCCGAGGTGGGATGCAGGCCTAAAATGTGTCCTGTGCAACAGAGTCGGAAGCAACAAGCCTACGGGAGCGCGGAGTCTATGGATACGGCGAGGCGGAGGATGGGCGGGTGATGCGTTCTAGAGTCGTACAGCTTTTCAGCTAGATGTCTCAAGATAGGAGAAGTTGAAGATGATGTGCGTGGTTTTCCTCTCTATTCTCAGGTATGACCTGTCGCGTGCCGTGGATTCGACGGGGAGTCTTTGATCGTGTGGTCGAGGTAGGCGGAGATGGCGAGAGTCATTCGAGGGGCTCGCCGAGTCCCACGATATCCAGATCGGCCCTGAAGACTTCTGCAGCTGTAGTATGTTCTGATCTCGAGTATCGAATGAGTGCAGTCTTGCTGCAGTCTCCTCTGCCATGCTAAGCCTGCTGCATGTGGCTGCAAGCGTGCTTCGGGGATGCTGGTAGCCGTGCGGACCCCCTGGCTTGGTACGATATTGAGATTCTTTGTGGGGTAAGCTTCCAGCCTCCCTCCACGACGCTGCCTCAACCACACCACCACCACGATGATCCCCAACACCAAGCCGCGCTCGCTCAAATTTTCAGAGCTGGCAGAAGGCGCTCACATGACCAAGACAATGGGTCGATGAAGCTTCGCCGGCCGCGATGGTGATTGGGCTGAGCTCCTGCGACTCAATTCTCCCAAGCAGCCACCCGCGCCGCCTCCCACCACCCCACTCAGGCCATGACAAAGGTAGTAACAAGACGGCTATACTCCTGATGACCTCCGCGAGAGCTTCATGCCCCGTGCAGGTCTCTGTCGTGGGTGTTCTCACCGATAGCTTCGCTGGCGATGCGAGGCGGACTCCCGACGCAGCCTCTGACTCTGCTAACAAGCTACCACCATGGTGGGGGCGACACCAAGGTCTGTAGCAAGCCTTGCAGCTTCATCAGGCACTTGTACATAGTACAGTGGCTCCTGTCGTTGACTCGGTCTGCTGCAGGTTCGCCAGCGCATTGACGCTGACACCCAAGACAAACTCAAACCACAGCCCCTCTGACCACCGTCGACCGCAACGGAGACGACAAAGAGCATTGCCCCATCAGCTGGGCTGGCTTCGGCGAGCAGCATACTCTCCATCAATACCATGCCAGGCCTGGCCGGGGCGGCGCTGCCGGCGCATCGAAGCGGACCCCCGAAGCAATCGCATCTAGCCCCTCAACACCAACGACGAGATATTCGAACAAGGCAATACCCACACACAAGGATACTTTGGCGGGAGGCTGCATGCATGAGACTGCATTGCATCGAATGCGGCTCAGGCTGCTCCGCTGGCTACGAGGGGGCTTTTCGAAGGCAATCGCAACTCTGCCTTATTGTAGGTCGGCGACCACAATCGATGCGAGCCTCCTCACTGTACTATGTAGTGCGCCGTCGATCACACTCAAGGGAAGTTCCCTTCGGGCCGCTGCTCATATCAAAGTTCTTGGAGTCGACAGCTTCGTCGATCTTCTGAACCACACCTCCCCTTGAGTCAAGCACGACACCAGCGACACCAACGGTAAGCAGCGCGACAGCGCTCGCTCTGTAGTGATTCATGCTTGCAGATCGCAGCGCCTCGTCGCCTCGTCGTCTTGACTCATGCAGGAAGCCTCTTCGTCGCTGGTCCCACAACCCAAGGCGGGGCTGGCAAGAATCCGAAAGCGAAGCAAACGCCCCTTGTTGCACACGATGCCTCGACGCAACGAACGAATCGAAGACTCCGATCTACGTACGGCGCGCATGCCAGGCCCATAGGCGCATCATCCCGTCATTCAACATCTCGAACCGGTCGAAGTTTGGCGGGAGCGGAAACACCTATTTGCGACCAGACGGCCCGTCTGCGGCATCCACACGCATGATCTGTATGTACATTGGCAGATCGGCCCGTCTGTGGATTGGCATTTCGACCCACTTGATACGATATACGAGAAGAAGCAAGAAGACAATCTTTGCAACGCTGCATGCGAATGCGAAGGCGTGGAATATCTTGCAAGAGGGCACACCAGCAAGCATGCGCGCATCGGACCGCGGAATACCGCCGACAGTGGAGACAAGCCACCTTCGATGTGTATGCAAGACTTGACAAGTTCTGGAGTGCTTCGCTCTCGCTTTGGATTGAGAAGTCCTCGTCTCCACAACGGCATCATACGCTGCAGCACATACCGTACCGGATTAGAGCTGATCTGGCTTTGGCGATGCTGCCGCGCTGCAACAAGGACCATACACACATTTGTAGGTTACTCTTGGCATCCTGCGCGACGACGATGATGGAGCTGTTCATTTGCAGCGTTGGCGCGCGACGCACGACCATTTGCGCGTGACTTGTAGCTGGAGTCAAGATCCACGAGGAAGTTTCCCTGAGATGATCTTTTCGTTGTGCATCAGCAATCGTAGCATGATGGCAGGCCTGACGACAGCGAGCAAACGAAGGTGACCAGAAAGAGCAAGGAGCTGGGGTGGTCGCCATGCGTATTCTGACTGTGCTGAACTGCACTCGTCAACGTAGGCCTCGTCGACGCCGCTGCGAAAGAAAAGGAATTCCAGCAAAGCTGTGGGTGATCTGCTTTGGTTCAAAGTGGCTACGGTGATCTCCGGCCACTCGAACAGCAGCGTTCCCAGCTTCAGCGTCGGGTTCAACGCGTGATATGCTCGCTGTCGTATTGGTGTTGCACAATATTTCGACGACGATGAAAGGTATGTTTGATGAGTCCTTGGAGCTTCAAGGTCGGCAAACATCGTCAGTGATACATCCACCACAGGTATGGACTCCAGAATCAATGCACCTGCTGGCATAGACATGCTCAGGGCATGCTGCTCACCGACAGTCTCTTGCGATGTCATCAAACTCAGTCCGGCATAGTCACACCTCCAAGCTGTCAGGACGTCGTCGGACGACGGCCAGACTCTATCCCATACAGCACAGGGTCATCAGCAGGCGCCTCATTTGGCACTCTGAGCGCTCGGACTACTACTTATTGGAAGTGGTCGACCAGCAAGCTCGACGACAACGGATGCTTGTGCCCAAGAAGCCCTGGTCGCCTGTCTCAGCCGATTGTGACCTCATCTCTCTTTGCGTCTGTCAAGCAGGGCGAAGATACAGGCACACTAGCCATCGCCATCAGTCTCGACCAGCCGGCTTTGTTCGGACCCTATGGGCGTTGGTGCTGGCGCTGGCGTAGGTGCAGATGCAAGCCATGTCTCGTCTTCGACCTTGTCTACGGCTAAGGCATCCGAGTTAAGCTGAGGTTTCAAGCTGCCGCGGCCTCAAAGCTGTTGAGTACACAGGAAGCGGACTTGTGCGCAGTCCCCTGACCCTGGAAACGCCACGTCTGCAGGCTATAATAGCTTCAAGTCTACTCGACCCTGAAGTAGAAGCCGAAGCCATCCGGCTAGGAGTTGTCTCCGAAGAAGAAGGATCAAGACGTCCGCCACAAACTCGCTACCATGCGCGACATACGCCATTCCATTGTTTCGGTCCAGAGGCGTCTGCAGCTAAGATGGCGCTCGGTAGTGTACCTGTCTTGACTCAGGGGCTGGCTCGGTACAAGCTAGTCGGCGCCATTTTCGTCAGCCTGAACTTCAGACGACGCGGTCGAAGGATCAGGATGTCTCCCTTCCTGCACTCGTCGCGACCGACCTCCCGCGCGTTTCCGAATTATCGCTCAAGTCTTATCGCCGGAAGGGTGCCTCGTACGACTGGCCTTGGCCGTGGATGAAGTCGTGTCCGTCCTGGGAGATGTCGCCGCGGTGGCCTTCGCGCTCATCGCCGGGGTCAATGGAGAAGCTGAGCCGACCAACTCCATGATATCCTGTGTAGCTGTACCATTGTCGTCGGTCTTGCCCTATCTTGCAGCCTGCGAGAAGAGGTAGGGGCCCGAAAAGCTTGCGTCGTCGTCGGTCGCGCTCTGCTGATAGAAGAGTCGGTCGTGCTGCCCGCGTACATGGCTGCTCGCGATGTCAGTATGACCAGCACGTCGAAGGAGAAGGTACTGCACCTGTCCATGTATGCATCTCTCGCGCTGCACACTCCGCCGACGCCAGGTTGTGTCGCCGCGTCAATAGAGGTCGAGGAAAACAAGTCACCCCGCCCACCGCCGCCGCCGGTCTTCGTCCAGATTGTGCCGCGGGGGTCATCGCACGCGCGTGAGCCAAAGAGGAGGTGTTC